GTGTGTGTGTGTGTGTGTGTGTGTGTGTGTAAGAGTGTGTGTGTGTATGTGTGTGTAAGAGTGTGTGTGTGTGTGAGTGTGTGTGTGTGTGGCCAGCTGTAGGCACAGCCTAGCTCACTCTGCACCCCAAAATCTCCTCCCAGTGGACACTACCCCCTGCGCTCACCCACCCCAGCGGGGGGCGTTACGGTTGGGTTTCAGCTAGCTTGGCATCCAGCATCAAAGATGAAAATGTTTTTGGGGGACAGGGAGGGAGGAGGCAGGGCCGCCGCGGACTTTCCCACCTCCTGTGGTTTTGCTGACTCCCTCCCAGTTTTTGTATTTTCCTTTCCGTACAATCCTCCTGAGCAGCTGGCGGTGACTGCTGGCGGCCTCGGGGCGCGGGCCTGCCCCGGGCCCTGCACCCCACCACGGGCGGTCAGCTGTCCCAGAGGTGCTGGGCCCACAGCGCCATCTGCAGGCCCTCGCGCCCACCAGCAGCTCGGCCTCCTTCCGCTAATTCAGAGTTCCCTCTTAGGTTTTCACTTTTTTAAGATTTTCTATCCCCCCCACCCACTGTTCTTCCCTTGCAGTTGGCGTTTTCTTCCCTTTCTTGGGCGACACTGGTGGGCGGGGTGAGGGAGCCTGCCTCAGGAGGAGGCCCCCAGATCTGTCCTCCCGTGGGGGGCGGGCCGGCTGAAGCTGGGCCCAGGAGGAGGGTTTGGAAAGACCCCAGTGGCCCTGTGGAGCGCCCCCCCACCCCGAGAAGGAGCCCCTCGGGCTGTCCCTGGTGGGACCAGCTTGGTGGCCCCAGGCTCTTGAGCCAAAGCGACCGAGGGGAGCCCACGTGGGAGGTCCTCGGCCCTCTCCAGGCCTCTCCGGACAGAGGCCGGTGTCTGAAGGGCTGGATCCTGCCCTCGCCCAGCCCCACTGGGCGTTAACCTTTTCCATTAAGGAGGAAGAGAAGCCCCTGAGCCAAGAGAAGCCCCCAGAGAGAACTCAAATTTTCCTTCTCAGCAGCGCTGCTGGCTGACGACCCCAGAGCGCCCCCTCCCAGCCTGAGCCCACCATCAGATCAGAACTAGCCCCAGAGCCTCAAAGAGCCACCCCTCTTGGGGCCATGATGACCCAATGCTCATCCTCCCCCAAGGAAAACTAAAAGGGGGGAAGAAAACAGGATTTAGCGATTTCTTTGTTTTTCCTTTTTTCCTTTTGGCGTTTCCCCTCTGCCCAAGGCGGGACTGACTGGCTGTTCTTCATCATTGACGTTGCAGGCTAGCCTCTGCCGAGGGGGGCACAGCCGCTTCTCCCCCTACTAGCAAAAGACCCAGCCCCTGACAGCATTCACACTGACTGCCTGTCACAAACGATCCCAAACACCAGGCTCGCCCAGCAGGGGGACAGTGCGCCCCTCCGGGTCAGCCTCCCCCACCGCTGACCCTCCACCACCCCAGACCCACAGGGTTCCTCTCCAGCCAGCCGGTCTCCCCGCCCCGCCCACGACGGTGTGTGTGTCTTTGGCCCTGGTTGTTCCTGTTTGTCTGAAACCTTAGTGTCCCCCTTTCATTTGGTCGGTGTGGTACGACCCAAGCCACTCCAGGTACACACACGCAGTGCGGTAGGGCCGGGCAGGTGGCCTGAGCCCTCGAAGGCGGCCCTCCTGCAGGCTTAGCCATAATGTCCAGCCTGGTGTGGTGGACAGCAGCTGCTCCCCATGTGTCCGGGGCAGCCCAGGGTCCAGAGAGCCACAGAAGATGCCCAGCCCGGGGCTCTCCCTCCGCCCTTCCCCGAGCCGCCCCGAGACGCTATGGCAGCCGGTGGAGACACAGCCCCCTCCCTCCCCTTAGTGAGCCCCCTCCCTCCCCTTGGTGCACAGTGCCCTCTGCAGGGTCTCCCGCCAGGGGGCGAGCCAGCTCCGACCTCCACCCACTCATCGCAGGAGGAGCCCTGGTCCAGCCCCCCTTCCTGGCCCCTCATGCAGCTGAAACAAATATTTTTAATTAAATTTTACTGATGATGTCTCCTGCGGACGTAGTCACAGCCACGTCGAACAGTGTGAAAGGCGCCCGATCCCAGCGACTCCTTAATCTCTGCCGTAAGAAATGGAAATGCCAGGAGAAACTCCCCACCCAGGGCCCAGCAGCAGTCCTACCTGGACATCCCGGGGCCCTCCCAAGCCTGTCTTCACTTGGCTCTCTCTCCCCCCACCAGCCCCCGCTCTCCCAGCCAGCACCCCAGAGGGACCCAGCCCACCTGGCCCTGGGTGTGGGTGCCGGAGCTCGTTAGGAAAGGGCTTTTTATCAGGGTGCCTTTCTGAAGGGAAAGGAGAGCCTCAGTGAGCAAAGTGACCCCTCCCTGGGCCTTCCCTGCAGGACTGCCCACCAGCCTCGGCCTCCCATAGGTTCATCTGGGCAGCGCTGGGGGCCTGCAGCTCAATCATCAGGCCCTAGAGAGCATGGGGGCCTGCCTGGGGAGAGAGTCTACAGAGCTGGGTGGGATTCCTGGTCGCTGTCCCTACACCTCCACTACAGGGCAAGGGTGCAGCCGGGCAGCCCCGCCTCCCAATGTGCAAGCTGGGCTCCTGGGGTGAATGGCCAGCTGAGGGTTCGGGCGCCCCCTCCAGCGGGGGCATGACTATGCCGCCTCGATGGGGGGGTGGGCTGACCAGACCCTGCCCGGGCCCTGCTCCCTCCCAGCCCACTCTCCACCATGCCCTCAGGTCTGGGCCCATCCTCATGGCTAAGCCCAGCATGCCCCACCTTGCCCTGACATCTGTCCATCCAGAACCAGCAAGGCCCTGCCCACTTCCGCCCTCTCAGGAGCCTGCGGGTTGCTTCTCCACTGGGGCCCCCAGCCGTGCCCGCCGCCCCACTGCCTAACACACCAGCCCCGGAAGGGCAGAGGCCGCGGCCTTAAACTAAGAAAGACGTGGATTCCCGGGGTGGGGCAGGATTGGTGGGCGCGGGGGCTGTGGACAGCCCGTGCCGCCCGCTCGGGGCCCCGGCCACGCAGCGGGGCCCGCCCCTGGGGTCGCGTTGCCCTTTGAGCACGCCCAGCTGTTGTTTCTGTGAAACGACAAGCTCTGCCTTTTTGTTTCTGTTGTAGTGAAAGCTTCCACCGTTTCCTTCTTGGACCGTGAAGGGCAAACACAAAAAACAAAAAAAAAAAAACAAAAAAAATCACAAAACAACACAAAAAAACAAAAACAAAAAAAAAGACGTTACAGTCCAAGCAACCAACCAACCAACCAAACCAAGAGGCATCACGTGAGTGCAGCCCGCGCCGGCCACCGCGGCACCGAGGGAGCGCGGCCAGCAGGGGGCGCTTGGCCGCCGCCGCACGGATGGAGAGGCGCCCAGCCGACAGCCTGCCGGCCTGCCCCTTCCCCCACTGACAGCGCTGTCGGAAAACCCCTCTGTCCCAGGCAGCGGTGGAGAGTTTGAGGGGCCGGGGGCTCCGTTTTCTATCAAGTCTTCCTTTCCGTGGCCCCCACTCCCGAGCAGTGTAGGCCTGCGCAGAGGAGTGGCCAGCTGTGCCACGGAGAGCAGGGCGGGCTGGGACAAGGTCCTGGGGAGGACAGCTTATCGTCCCCGAGAGCTCTCCGTTGGCCTGCACCAAGCACCCCGTGTCTCATCCCCGGGCCCAGCCTCACGCTGTGCCCACAGTGCTGGCCTGTGCCCTGTTGGGGTTACGGGGCCCAGGGGGGAGTGAGGCCTTTTGGAGGCTGTCTGGCCGGCGGCCCTGGGGTGGGCGCCGGCTATGCACAAGGGCTGACGTGGTACTAGAACTGGGGAGGCCCCACCCAGTGCTCCCCATGCAAGGGTACTGGCTGCAGAGCAGAAGAAAATGACTCAGGCCTGGTCAGCTCAGGTGGGCCTGGGGTCCAGGACCTGCTCCTCCTGGTCATTTCCTTTCCTTTCCAGAGGCGGCCCTGGGATAGGGGACAGGGCCAGGCCCTGACTTTGGAGGCCCTGGGCCTGGGGCTCAGTCCAGCCCTGCAAGGCCCAGAAGAACCTGGGGGCAGCAGGAGCGGGCGGCGAAAGCACAGACCAGCTGGGTGTGGAGGGCCGGGGTTGGGGTCTCGGTGCTACAGGTCAGGCAGGGACCCCCCCAGGCAGAGCATGGGAGGGCCAGTGTGGGAGGGGAGGGCCTGGGCTGCCCTGCGCCGCAGGGGTGAAGCCAGCTTGCCTGCAGCCACCTCCCTGCTCACTGGCCAGGCCTCTGGGGAGGGGTGCAGCCTTCGGTCCCACAGGCGGAGGGAGCAGAGGGGAGGGACAGGGAGGCGCCCCTGGCAGGGCAGGGACCGCTGAGGGAGGGGAGGCAGCAAAAAAAAACAAAAACCAACACACATCGCGGCTCCAACACGGCCCGCTGTCTCATGAAACTCAAAACGCAAAAGCTACACCTCACTTTCTATCCAGCATAAGCTACTGAAGCTACCGACCGAAGTCCTCCTTTTCTATTGCTGGTGTACATAGACCCCGGCTCCCTCGCCGTCCTCTGTACAAAGCTCCCCGGCCACCTGCTGTTCCGGATCCTTTTCTGCAGCAGCTCCGCGCCCCCCCGCCCAGTGCCCCCCAGGACTGCAGCCGCCCCGGCTCCCTTTCTTACCATTCTGTATGCTTCCAAGGTGTGACTGTTCCAATCAGCGGTATTATTATTAAGGTTATTAATAAAGATTTCTTTCTTCAAACCAGGACGACTCCTTTTGATTTGGGCAGCTCCTGGGCTCAAGGAGGCAGGACTGACCCCGCTGAAGCCAGGTGGCAAAACGGGGTCAGGAGACCACCCCCCCCCACCACGCCCCCAGGCAGGAGATGTAAAGGTCCCATTCTCCCCTCCAAACGGGGCCTCTCCCCACCCCACCCAGGACAGGCGCCCAGGTGGAGACCCCTGCAGCCCTGCCCGCCGCCCCTGCGGGCCCGGGGGGAGGGTGCACTGGTCCTCTCACACCTCACTGGCGTGGGATGCGCCCCCGGGAGGCAGAAGCCCCACACACACACACACACACACACCTGTGGCGACCAGCATGTGTGGTCAATTGGGAACGCTGAAAATGGGATGGGACGGGGCTGGGCAGGAAGTGAGAGCCGCTGCAGGGGTGTCTGTGGCTGGTGCCAGGCAGGAAGGGTCTCTTCAGGGCCACGTGCTCCGGTCAACAGGCCCCAAGCTGCGGCTCCGAGAGGAGCTGAGAAGCTGCTGGACCCAAAGGTAAAACCACCTCTCCTGCCCCGACCACACCCACACCCACACCCACACCCCCACAC